CCACCTTGGGTGTATGTGGCTGGTGCCTTAGCCACTTGAGCCACAGGCGCCGAGCCACATGGCTTTTCTTTTAAAAAAGCATGTTTATGCAATAGTTTCTGCACCAATTATATGTTGGAAAAGCATAATCATGTTTACTTGACCTCTCATCCCTTTAAAAGATCTGTATTTGTGTGTATTTCTATATACATGATATATCAGAACTATCATTTATGGTTATCATTAAATAAATAACATTTATTTAATAAGCTCAAATTTTTTTATAAACAGCAGGACATAAGAAAAAGGTATGAGGACAACTTATTCACACAACAGCTCTTGTGTGGATAAGGTGGGAACAAGTGCACAAGCTATAGTCACTGTCTGAGAGCCTAGGTGGCCAGGCTTAAGGCTGTGGTCATCTGCACAGCAGGCCCAGATAGCATCCCAATGCACTGGTTCTCACACTCTCGACCTAGGACTTTGGTTCTCAACCTTCCTAATGCCGAGACCCTTTAATACAGTTCCTCATGTTGTGGTAATACCCAATCATAAAACTATTTTCCTTGCTACTTCATAACTATAATTTTGCTACTGTTATGAATTGTAATATAAATACTTGGTGTACAGGATGTATTTACCTGACCCCTGTGAAAGGGTCGTTCAATCCTTAAAGGGGTCACGACCCACAGATTGAGAACCACTGTCCTAGGATCACAAGGCTCTGAGTTTACACTGAAGCTCCTTGCAGGAGTCTGTAGGGTATACTTTAAGCCAAAGATGTGGTTTAAAGGGTGCTATTGGGAGAGAGTTCCACAAAATCTTTCCTAACTCTTGCCGTGGCCTCAGTCTCATTTCCCTGCCCAGCTAGCTGTTCTGCTTCTCTAGGGTAGGAAATGAGATAAGGCAATAGAGAATCCCCAGAGAGAGGTAACCATGGATCTTCTGTAACAAGCAAGGTAGTGAGGACCTCATTACACAGTTCCTGCAAAGGCACCTGTCTGTTGCCTCCAAACCTCTCCAAACACTGCAGACCTCTGAGCCATTCAAGAGAATGGAAACTGCAAAATTCTCTCAGGACAGGGACTGATATGTTATACTCTTCCCCACAAACTGGGGGACTTCAGTATTTTGTTTGCTTAGAATATCACCCAAAATACCTATCTCTATCTGCTGAAACGTACCTATCACTGCCCAGCCTGCTTCTAGCACCATGTGCTCTGTGAAGGAGTCTCTGATGAATCTGCTCCAGGGGTTTCTCATCCTGGCTGTCTGCATAATGGACTATTCTGAGGGTACTTTAAGATAGAAACTGATGTCTGAGGCTCACCCCTGGAGATTCTGGGCTGTTCTGGGAATGAGAATGTTTCCTCAGGTGATTCAAATGTGCATCCTGGGTCATGAAGGGCCAGGCCACTCCTCCTCCACTTCCGGTCACCTGCAGCACCTTTTCTGGACGTGCCAAGTGGTATTCATTCATCTTGCTCCTCTTTATGTCACAGCTATTTGTGAATATATCACCTCTTTAGCACCAACATAAGGTCTCTAAGAGTGGGGATTGTGTCCAGGTAATCTTTCATTCAGACACAGAGCCTTCCCATCAGGGAAGACTCCAGTTTTAGAAGGCTTCCCCTCCACAGACTCAATAATGGAGGCATCTATACCATTTTGAGAAGCAGGGCTGGAGAAGAAACTGTAAACTAGGGATCTTGCCTGGGCCTTCCCAGTTGAGACTAAGTCAAAATAGGTTCTTAAGAGACTGCCTGGCACGTGCACTCTGGAAGGCTAATGTCTTTTTAGAAACAACTCGAACTACCCTCTTGTTCCAAAAGGCTGTCTGGTCAGAATGGTGGCAGATCATCGCAGAAAGAAAAAGATGTTATCCTGTTTGTCAGATATGGTAAGCAAAGGTTCAATTAAAAAAAAAAAAACTTCCCTATAGTGTGGAGAGATTTCCATGGCATCCATTTTTACCCATTTTCCTCTTTCTTTTACATTTCCCTTGAGACCAACTTTCTAAAAGAAAACAGTCTTAGTCTTTTCAAGTTTACAAAAGGCAGCACCCAGATTTTCTGAATAAAATGATACGACTGTTCAGCAGAAAAGAGTCAAACTCTTCCACTTGCACCTTGCCTGGGCCTCCACTGTCAGAGGGTTTTACCACTCACTCAACCACCATTTCTTGAGCACCTGTTACGTGCCAGGAACACAAATACCAACATTATTCCATCCAAGCCTTTAAGGAGCTGCAGACTAGGAGACCAACAGGCAAACAAAAATGACATGGTTTCATCCCGCCAGAAGGAGGTGTGGAGAGGGCATCCATCCATGCAATAAATGGACACCAAGCATCCGCCTACCCTACGCCCTTGCTTAGAAGACAGGTCCAGCTCTCATGGAGCTTACAGGCATCCTGGGGAAGAGCCAGAACGTATGGATCGCCAATGCACACGCACACAAGCACTGACTGTGGGCACCAGAGAGGGCAGTCCTTGGGCTGCTGAGGACGGGTGGCTTCCCCTTATTGTCCCCCACACAGGGAGGACGTCGCAAACTCCCACTAACAGAAGACCGCTGGATCCCTGTTTGAGGCTGACTGGAGTGAGGGGGTGAGAGCAAGGCGGAATCCTCACTGGGATTCGTGACCAGCACCGGGCACCGGGCATCTGCCCCAGCCGGGACGCCACGCCCTGAATGCGCGGTCGGAGCAGGTGCGTCCTCCAGCACTGGGGCGGTGGGGGTGCTAAAGGGTCGGTCTGCCTGGACCCAGCACAAAGGATTCCAAAGGGATCCCAACTCCGGCAAGGTTAAGTACCTGGGCACTGTGCAAGCTTGAGGAGCCGCCCGCAGTGCCGCGGACACACCCAAAGATTCCTGGACTAAGAGTGACCTGCGCTGCGGGAGCCGCACCTGAGGAAGCAGAGGCAGAGAGGGCGGGGATAGGTGCAAGGCACCAGGCTAGGACCGCACGGGGTTTGGCCGGCCGATCCGCCAGGGTGGTTAGGATAGGAAGGGCGGACCCCGGCGCGGAGGCGGCCCTGGAGGCGTGAGTCCCGGGTTCCCAGTCCCAGCGACACTCACCGACCCTCAGCGTCGGGGCGGTGGTGGCGGCCGCCGCGCGGCCCTCTCGCGGGGTTCACTCTCTTGGACCCCACTACTGCGCTCCAGCCTCGCAGGGGCGGCGGAGGCCGGCACTGACAGCTGGGAGGCCACCCTGGAGGGGTGGGGGAGACCCGGGACCTGCGACTGATGGACACACCAGGCCGTCCGGTCTCCTGCAGGGGGCGCTGTGAATTGCGCGTGCGCAGTCGACCGCCCCTGCGGGTGCCCGGCCCGCCCTCGGCCGCCCTGGCCGGCCGGACCTGGCGCCTGCGCAGGGCCTCGTACATGTCGCCCACGTCCGGCAGGGGGCGCGCTACCCCACGCGCGCGCCAGGTCAGCCACCCCTGCGGGTACAAGCTCGCGCCTGCGCCGGGCCACATTGCCTGCCCGCGCCTGCGCAAAGTCCGCGTTCGCGCCTACGTCCACCAGGGGGCGCGCGGCGGAGGTTCCGCGCGCAGGCTGAAGCTAGCGATGACAGGGTCCGGACAGCGAAGGTGCGGCGACCTCTGCCAGGAATCGTTTTGTGCTTATCCCTTTCACAGCAGTCCAAGTAATTATAACGGGAAATTCCAGTTGGCCTTTTCCCCACTTCCCTTTACGCGCTCTTTCCGGAGCCCTCCTTTTCTTGGGCCCCTCGCCGTGGCTCGTTGGTTGCTTCTGCCCAAAGGCAGGCGAGTTGAGGGTCAGGAATCTTCTGGAATTTAGCTGACGGTGCGGGCGTCGAGTTTGTGGAAGTACCAGTGTTCCGGGGTGTGGCCCAGTCACGGTCCCAATTCAGGAGCGAGGAAGGTCTCCCCGGAATTGGGGCCAGTTGGGGTCACTTCAGGCCAGGGGGCGGTCCCGAGCCCACGTTGGGTCACCTGGGGGGGAGGGCTGTAGGGCTAGGTTGGGTCACAGGGTCGGAGTCACCTGTGCAGGTCTCCAAGGATAAGCAGGGGTCACCGTGGTGTGGCCAGGACCGGGCGGGGTAAGGGTCTCGGGGCCGGGGCGTGGGGGCGGGGCGGGGCCAACAGTCGCAGCGGGCGGAGTCCAGCAGGTTCCCGGAGCTGCCCGCAGCAGGACCACAGTTGTCCGGACGCCCGCCCTACTGCTGGCGTCCCAGGCAGTGGTGGCTGGGCTGGGAGCCCCACAGCCCTTAACTGGGGAGCCATTCGTGACCCGTTAACTGCATCCTCGCACCCACGCTGCCGCCATTCCCAAGACTGGACGGACTAAACGGTAACGTGAGGGCTGAGGTCTCTCAGTCCCCCAGAACTCCTTAAGGGATTGGGGTCGAGCCGCATTGTCTCATAAAACCTTTAGTTCTCAAAAGTTATGTCCTTTTTAGCCCAGAGAGTGGGCTACTTGAGGAATGGGACTTTGCTTCTCGTGAAGAGCCAGAGTACTAGAATACCCGGCACAGATGAGGCTTTTGTTACATACTTGTTCAATGAACGGGTCACAAAAGCCTGGTTTCAAATCTTGGCTCTCCCCTTAACTAGTTTAGAGATATTTTACCTCTCTAAACCTCAATTTCCCATCCCTAAAATTGAAATGATGATGGTAATAGCAAACTCAAAATTTTGTTTTATCATTTTTTGGGGGGGGAGGTAAAATGAGAAAAAACATGTTTAAGTGCTTATCACAATGCCTGCACAGAAATGTCAAAAAAATGCTGGTATAATGAGAGTAGGACTGGAGATTTACATAGTCTAGTAGGCTCTAGTCTCTATAATAAGTATACAGGAAAAAAGCAATTGAACGCCGTTACAGGATGGGTGAGGGAGTAGATTATTAATATGCTGCAAACATCTTAAGAACCTTTTCTCCATCTTTACTCATACCCATACCCAACCAAAATAGCTTCCCCATTCTCTACTTCCTACTAGAAACCTAGGTGAACCTCGGCAACTGGCCCTTCTCTTCATGCTACATCCTCATTCAATCTTTTTCTTTCCTTTTTTTTTTTTTTTTTGGAGACAGAGTCTCACTATGTCACCCTATGAGTGCTGTGGCATCACAGCTCACAGCATCCTCAAACTCTTGGGCTTTAGCAATTCTCTTGCCTCAGCCTCCTGAGTAGCTGGGACTACAGTTGCCCACCACAGTACCTGGCTATCAGTCTTTTTTCTTTTGAAAATCAATCCTCAGCTGGCTGGTGGTTGTCCAGCTACTAGGGAAGCTGAGGTGGGAGGATCACTTGAGCCTAGGAGTTGGAGACTGCAGTGAGCTATGATTGTGCCACTGCCCTCCAGCCTGGGAATCCCCTCCCCCCCAAAAAATCCTTGCATTTTCCCCAGCCTTTTCTAAGCCTGATCTCAGTTCTGTATAACTAAATTCAGTAACAGAGCTTGCTGACTCAGAATTTCCCTTAGATGAAAGATGAGGGTAAAAGTATTGGAAGGAAACTTCACAGATGAAGACAGATAATTTATAAAGAGTACTAATTTTATATCTCTGTTCTCAACCTTGTCAGATTAAATATTAATCATTAAATGTCACAGTTGTGAGCTAGGAGGATGTGAAGGTCATTGGCAAAAGAAAGTTAGTATGTACAAAAATTCTAGGCTCTGGACTTAAGTTCAATAAATAGCTGCTGTGCAGTTGGCTGGACCCTTTTGATGCTCTTCAACAATCAGTAAAGAATCCATCAAATTTGTGCTGAAAGCCCACTATTGAACAAAACAAAACAAATCTAGATGCTCCATCTCTTTTCTTTCCAAATGGAGGTCCAGATAAAAGTTATAATTTCTGGCTCGGCGCCTGTGGCTCAAGCGGCTAAGGCGCCAGCCACATACACCTAAGGTGGCGGGTTTGAATCTCCAGCCCGGACCCGCCAAACAACAATGATGGCTGCAACCAAAAAATGGCCGGGCGTTGTGGCTGGCGCCTGTAGTCCCAGCTACTTGGGAGGCTGAGGCAGGAGACTCGCTTGAGCCCAGGAGTTGGAGGTTGCTGTGAGCTGTGATGCCATGGCACTCTACCCGGGGTGGGTAGCTTGAGGCTCTGCCTCAAAAAAAAAAAAAAAGTTATAATTTCTTCAAAATCACCCAGTTAGCTAATACTGGAACCCAGGTGTTCAGGCTCCTAGACTGTTTACCACTCCCTGGTATGGGAACACATTCATATATCACAAATGCATGCTGAGTGATTGCAGGATGTACTCTTGATGCAAAGAGTACTTTCTCTTCTGTGAAGATTGATGACAAAAGTTCTAGTGGATGTTGGCCTTCATAAATCTTATGGCTTACAAAAGGCAGAAAACCTATCTATTAAACAACTTGGCTGATGTGAGTGTGTGTGGTGTTTTCTTAATTTCTTACTCTCTGAATTTTTTTTCTTAATGAAACTAATTTGTCAGTTCTGAATTCTTTTGAAGGGGTACGGATACATTATCTGTCTGTCTGTCTATCTATCTATCTATGTAATATATAGCAGTGCCCAAGTTGCTGGTGTATCAATGTAAAATCTTAAAATAGGGCTTCTTTAATTGTTTCCTTAGGAATGATGTTATAGTTCAGAGATACATTTAGACTAAGCTGTACATCTACTCCTTTATTCAGTGCTTGAAAGGCATTATATTTCAATGTATGTTTTAGTGGTTAAAACCAGTTGTGGAGGCTTGGCCCCTGTAGCACAGTGATTGCAGCGCCAGCCATGTACATCAAGGCTGGCGGGTTCAAGCCCAGCCCAGGCCAGCTAAACAACAATAACAACTGTAACAAAAAATAGCCAAGTGCTGTGGTGGGCGCCTGTAGTCCAGGCTACTTGGGAGGCAGAGGCAGGAGAATTGCTTAAGCCCAAGAGTTTGAGGTTGCTGTGAACTGTGACGCAGCAGCACTTAATCAAGGTTGACATAGTGAGACTCTGTCTCAAAAAAAAAAAGGTCGTGGACTCTTGGCTACGCTGCTCTGGATTGAATTTGAATCCCAGCTGTTAATGTCTTTAGGCAAATTACTTAACCTTTCTGTGTTTTGGTCTTCTTGTGTAAGATGGGGATTATATAGTACTCATTTCATAGAATTGCAAAGATGAGATGCATCGGGCGGCGTCTGTGGCTCAGTGAGTAGGGCACCGGCCCCATATACTAAGGGTGGCAGGTTCAAAAACCAGCCCCGGCCAAACTGCAACAAAAAAATAGACAGGCATTGTGGTGGGCGCCTGTAGTCCCAGCTACTTGGGAGGCTGAGGCAAGAGAATCGGGTTGCTGTGAGCTGTGATGCCATAGCACTCTACCTAGGGTGACAAGAGTGAGACTCTGTCTCTTAAAAAAAAAGTGCATCAAATATATAGAGCGTAGTACTTAGTGTTTGGCACTAAACAAGGGCTCAGTAATCTTAGTATTGTGTTATATGTTGAGGATACAAACATGAATGAAATTTGTGTGCTCTCCAGGATCTCACAAAACAAATGTGTTCATTTTAATTTAGTTTTCATTGTGGCTTACTATATGCCAGGTGAAATTTGAAATTGTGAATAAAGCACTATCTATGATTTAATAGAATTCAGGGTTTCCAACATATTAGAGTCTAAATATAGTGTTAGAAGCAAAGATATAACAATTGAAAATAATGTGGACTAGGCATAGTACCTCACACCTATAATCCTAGTACTTTGGGAGGTTAAGACAAGTGGATTGATTGCAGCCAAGAGTTAGAGACCAGCCTGGAGCAATCTACCAAAAAAAGAAAAAAAATCACCCAGGTATAATGTGGACCTGTAGTCCTAGTTACTTGGAAGGCTGAGTCAGGAGGGTGGCTTGGGCCTAGGATTTGGAGTCGGAGGTTGTAGTGAGCTAGCCTGGGTGACACAGCAAGACCCTCTCATTTCTTTTCTTTTTTCCTTTTGCAGTTTTTGGCTGGGGCTGGGTTTGAACCCGTCACTTCCCGCATATGGGGTTTAACCCACCACCTCCGGCATATGGGGTTGGTGCCCTACTCCTTTGAGCCACAGGCACCGCCCTTTTTTTTTTTTTTTTTTTAGACTCTCTTATTTCTTTAATAACCATTGATTTTGAACATCTTTTCGTGTGCTTGTTGGCCATTTGTAAATCTTTGGAGAAATGTCTATTCAAGTCCTTTCCCTTTTTTAAAGTTGGATTCTTTTATCTGTTTGTTGTTAAGTTGTAATATTAATAGTTCTTTATAAACTCTGAAGAGTAAATCATTATCAGATACATGACTCACAGATATTTTCTCATGTAGGTTGTTTTTTCTTGATAACGGCCTTCATTACACAAAAGTTCTAAATTTTGATAAAATTCACTTTGTTTTCTTTTGTTGCTCATACTTTTGGTGCCAAGACTAAAATTACATTGCCAAATCTGAGGTGAAAAATATCTACCCCTAGATTTCTTCTATAAGTTTTATATTTAGCGCTTATATTTAGGCCATTGATCCATCTTGTATTAATGTTTATATATGGAATGAGGTAGGAACCAACTTCATTCTTTGGCATATGATTATTGGTTGGCCTAGTACCATTTATTGAAGAGACTTTTTTTTCTCACTAAATG